GGTGTGTGTGTGGCCATCTCAGCCCACCAGGGGGCGGGGCCGGCTGGCATGCGGTGCTGGGGGATCGAACCGCGGTCCCTGATGCCTTGCCAAGCTTGTTCCAAGTAGGTGCCCTAGACCACTGAGCCATCTCTCCAGCCCCACAAAAACCTTTTTTATTTTTTTGGAAAATCATTGAGTTTGGGACCAGTCTGGGCTACAAAGTGAACTCCAAGCCAGTCTCAACTGCATGGCGAGACCCTGTCTCAAAAAGACAACAACAACATAATGGGCATACTGAACTCATATTTTGTGAGATGTGGGCTATGCCTAGTGTGGAGAACAAAGATAAAAGTCTCTACCTACTGCATTAAGGAGAAAACAAGAACCACTCAGAGCTTTGTGTGGCAGTTGAAGTCACTCAAAGAGAATTTCCTGGAGGCTGGCCAGATTGATGGATTGGGAGCTCCTGGATTGGCCCCTCAGTCTCGTTTTTCATTCAGTGGCACTGAAGCCCATAAGGATATTGGAACCTGCCTCCTCTCTCTTGTCACCTTCTTGCCCACCTCAAAGAGTGAGTCATACTTCCTGGCTTTACACCTGGGAAGGAAAAAGGACTGAATAGAAAGTCCAGAAACTGATTGGATGTGGTGGTATGCACCTATATAATAGCATTCTGGGAGGCTGAAGCAGGAGGATTGAAAAGTCATGCTTAGCATGGGCAATTTACCTATCTATCTATCTATCTATCTATCTATCTATTTATTTATTTATTTTGTGGTACTAGGAATGGAACTCAAGAACTTGTGTCACTGAGCTACATCCCTGGCCCTGCAATTTAGTAATTTAGTGAGACCCTGTCTCAAAGTAAAATATAAGAAAAGGGTTTCTGTCCCAAAGCCCTAGATTCCATCCCCAGTGCCTAGGCAAAAAAACAAAAAAACAAACAAACAACAACAACAACAAAAAAAAACCCACAGGGCCAGGAGTGGTGGTACACTCCTGTAATCCAGCACTCTAGAAGCGGAGGCAGGAGGATAACGCAGAATTTGAGGCCGGCCTGGCCTATTTAGTGAGTTGAAGGTCAGCCTGAACTGCATAGCAGGACCCTGGCTCAAAAAATCATTTAAAAATTTAAAAAATTATTTTTATAATAAAATAAAAAATGCAGGGGCTGGTGAGATGGCTCAGTGGTCTAAAGCACCTACTTAGAACAAGCTTAGCAAAGTACAGGGACTGGGGTTCAATCCCCCAGCACCACATGCCAGCCAGCCCCGCCCTCTGGAGGGCTGAGCTGGCCACACACACACACACACACACACACACGCACGCACACACATAAATAAAATAAATGCAGATACAAGAAGAATTGAACACTTCCAATTTGTCTTTACAGGTTCTTCCTCTGGGAATTTTCAAGTGCTGGGGTGTTCTTACAGAAAAGGCAGAACCAGACAGAGCCATAGGGAAGTTCTGAACAGACGTTAGTGTGTATGAAAAGAAAAAATGTAATTTGTTGCAGACTAGGGTGTAGCTCAGTGCTGGAGGGCCTTCCTAGCAAGCTTGAGGCCCTAGGTTCAAGTCCTGGTACAGGTGGGGATGGGGTTGCAATTGTGTATGAGACATCTTTCAAAACTGCCTAAGGCGCCTCCAGCTCGAGGTTTGGGGATCATGTGTGAGTGTTGGGGCCTTGTACACCTTACGTAGCCCCGAGGACCTGGGCCGGGATCTCAACTGTGCTCCTGAAAAGCCAAGTGGGCTCCAGCCTGTTGATTATCTAAGATGCAAGAAGCATTCCAGCTATATGAGATAACAAATTGGGTACCAGTGCAAAAACAAGAAAGCACCACGAGGGTTTCCCCCCGCCAGATCTCAGGCCTAGATCAGTCTAACTGTGGAGTCAGGGCCACTGGGACAGCCACACAACACCCTTTCAGCACGGGTCCAATTTTGGCTTAGGCGCCTGGCTCTACAGCTGGGAGGCGTGGCCGCAGGGACTCGCGCCAGGGTCAGTCCCGCGAGACCCTGCAGGGGCGCGGCGCGCGTTGCTCGGGGCGACGGCGCGGGATTACGCAGGCGCAGTGAGTTGAGCCCACCCCGTCGCGCCTTCCCCTTTAAACTGTGGCCGGCCGCGTCGTCGCTTCATGAATGGAGCCCACGTGACCAAACATCATGTGACGTCTGAGGAGCGGCGGCGGCGGCACTGGTGGTGGTGGTTCCCGAGCCCGGTTCAGCCCAGCCTTCCCAGCGCTTTCGGCCCGGTCCGCGTAGGCGGCCAGCCCCCAACCCCAGCCCGGGCCCGGACCCTTCGCGCCGGTCCCTGCCCCGTGGCCTTCCCCGGCCTACTGGGCCCGCAGTGTGGTGAGTGCGTGGGGCCGAGGCCGAGCGGGAGGGCGGTGGGGCCTGGCTGGGGGTCTGTGGTGGACCCTCTCAGCAGCCCGGGCCTCGATTTCCCCACTGGGCAGGAGGTAGTTCTTGACCCTGGCGCCCAGGCGCGGGTGTGCGGGGCGGCGGCGAGGCCAGGCGCCGGCGTGCGCGCGGCGGACACCAGGCGCCCCGCTGGGGGGGGGGCGCGGCGACGAGGCGGGGCGCGCGGGGTTCTAGGGTGCGGGCACGGCGTGCCGCTGACTCATCAGGTGTCGGTCCGCGCCTCATGGCTGGGGGGCCCGGCCGGCAGGGGCGGCGGCGGCGCGGCTCCGGCTCGCCACGCGCGCGAGCCCAGCGGAGACGTGCTGAGTCATCAGCATGAGGTCACTCGGTGCTCCTGCCGACGCCGGGCCCGGGCGGTCGAGTTGGCCGCTCCGGGGCGGAGGGCAAGATGCCCGATGGTGAGGTCGCTGAGCCCCGACTTAAGTTTGGCCTAGCCGCGACTTGGAGGCAGGGGCGAGGAGGAGCTCAGTGCACGCTTCTAACTTTCTCCCGGGTGGAAGGTGAAGCCCAGGCCTTCGCATCCTTTCCAAAAAGCACTCCGTGGACAGCTGGCCTTGAATCCACGTTTGGGCCAGTTCCCCAAACTGGGACGCAGTTCTTTGAGTGAAAAGGGGTGGAGCTTAGGTGGGCAGAGCCAGCCAGGGTAGGAAGCAGGCTTTCCCGGTGACTGGTCTGGCCAGTGGGGCTGGGCGTAGGACTGGGGCAGTGGTAGGCAGAGATGTGTGTAGCACGGAGGAAGCAGGAGCAGCTCTGCGAAATGGCAAATGGGAAGCAAGAGACTGAGACCGCGGGTGAGAGCTTCAGGGTGCAGGCACGGGGTGGAAAGATGCAGTTCTCAGTCACCCAGAGTTGTCCTAACCTGCAGTGTGCGGTTTCCAGTGTTGCAAGAAGTTTGCTGACTTCAAAAGTGTGCCCTGCTGGGTGACTAGCCATGAGGCTCTTAGGAAGTGACAACCTGCAGGTCCTGCAGCCCGAATTGCTTTTCCTTGGAGTATATGTGTGGTTCCTGGCCTCTCCAGGATTTGGCGGTTCTGCTTACCTTAGACTGATCCTGTGGTTTGCCCCCCAGATGCCTTCCAAACGCATAGCACCTTGTTACTTGCTTCATCTCCCATGAAGCCTGCACAAGTCCTAAGTTTGTAGGTGTAGGTGCCAGATGTTTTCACCTCATCTCGGGTGGAATTGTATGCCTTAGGACAAGGGTGTCAAACCTATGGTGCTTGTGCCTCAGCCAGTTGTTTATTATTGAAAGCTCTAAAAGGCTTGACATCACCACATTAGCATAAAGCCGTTTTCCAGGGAGTGTTTCTTTAAATCTCCTGGTCACTTTTGCTTTATCGGAAATAACATTTTATGTTCTATTAGAAAAATGTCTGTGGGGCTGGGGAGATGGCTCAGTAGGATAAGCGCTTGACTGGCAAATGCAAGGATCTGAGTTCAATCCCCGGTTCCCCCCAAAAAAGAAAAAGAAAAATGTCTGTGGATCATTGAGGGCTTCTGGGGGAGGTGCACCTGGAGTTTGAAGTACTAGAGCATCTAAACCTAACCTCCCTGGGAGTTTTGGCCACTGAGCTTTGCAAGTCAGGATGGACCAAGAACCCATGTCTTACCTGTGTCACGTCTAGGCTGAAGTTTGCACTGCAGGAGACGAGGTGAAACTACCCTTGGCTCTCAGCCTGAGTGGGAGGCCCTTGGTGCTTAGGGCTTTTGTGACCATTTGTGCCCCACCCTGAGGCAGGTTCAGGCTGTAGGGGAGTAGGGGTTGAAGGATCTCTGGGTCTCAGCCCTGACCAGCCTTCACGATCCACAGGACAGCTGAGAAAGGGGCAGCTTCTCCCTGATCACCCACACTCTGGGGTTCCCTTCTGCCCAGTCTTTGTGTTCCTCTGTTGGCAGAGGTGAAGCAGGTGGAGCATAGCGTTTACTGGGCCTACCTCCCACTCATGCAAGCACACACGTGCACACCTCTGATTAGAGGTGATTGGCTATACTTGTGCTGAGTTCAGGCCTTCTTCAGAGGGTAAAATCTGTCGAGGAGGCACTTTTTGGCTCCCAGCCGCTGCATGCCACACTCGGCACTTTTCAGTGTGATCGCCTCAGGAAGTCACCCTGTCATTGTGCTCAGCAGTTAGGGCAGGGGAAGAAAGGGATGGGAAAAGCCTGAGCCAGAGCAGGGTCCCTGCGCCCTAACCTGTGCTTAGGGCCAAGAACTCCTCCAGACTATTGAGAGGGCTTGTTGCTGGGCTGGCATGGGCCAGGGGCTAGCTTATAGGATAGATGTGCTGAGGATCTTCTGGCTTCCATCTCTCGTCTCCTGCCCCTTGATCTGGAAGCATTCTTGCCCTTAAAATGCTCTTCGTGCCCTGACTTCTGAGGTGGTAACTCTGGCTTCTCTTGCTTGCTTTTTTGCATGCAGCCTCACCTCCTGGTGCAAGGATAGGTGAGGTGGGGCCTCTGCTCTTGTAGCTATATTATAGCTCCCCTGAGAAGGGTCAAGACCTCCGCCACACACACACAAAATACACTTCACACAGCCCACAGTTGCTTGAATCATTGAGGCCACCTTACACTCCAGCCACTTAAGGCTGACCTGGAAAGGAGAGGATAGAGCAAGGGTGTGTCTTTCCCCAAAGAACTAGTGGGGCTGAGGTAAGTAGGGGTTCTGTGGCCTAGGCTTTGGAGACCAGAAAGTGAGGTTAGGGTATTGGGCATTTGAGTACAGGGGAGGTGGACCTTTGGCTTTCATTTCCTGACCTTGTGGGTAGTGACTACCACAGGCAGGAGCCAGAGAGCATCAGTGTGATTCAGAGGGGCTTATTCCAGGCTGCCTCAAATGGAGCACTACCCCTAGTGGATTATTGTGGAAGCCCTTGTGAAATAGGCAGGGTGGGGCAGGGGCACAGGATGCTGCAACCTAAAGCCACAGAATGGTTACTCCATCCTGGAGGAGGTAGACAAGGAGGCCTAGAGGGGCCTCAATTCAGGTCCTCCTAGCTGGATTACCTTCACCTGGAAGGTGGGGACTCCCAACCAGTGCACAGATGGAGCCAGAGCTTGCTGGAAGGTGCATTTCTGACCACAGGAGTCTGGGAGAATCAAGAATCTGCAGCTCTCCAGAGGAACAGGGCCTTCAAAACCATAGAGGGAAGAGGGGCTTTGTCCCAGCCACTTCAAGGGTGGTAGCTGTAGGAGGCAGGACCCTAGATACACACAGCACAGGGTCACTGACTGGCTCTTACCTGCCACTGGCCCTACTCTCCTGGGACACTGTTGGCTGGCTTCCGGGATGGCTTGGAGTGGGAGAGGGAGGGAGGCAATGTGCTGAGTCAGCGTGACTCGCCAGAACTGTGAGCTCTGGGGCAGCACTGGGGTTATTTTTAAAGCTCTGTTTCCTTCTAAGCCCGCCCCTCCCAAGGCTTGTCTAATCTCTTCTCCGCCCCTTTGTCTAGCCCCTGCCTCTGTGGCAGCCTTCAGTTCCCCTTCCCCCATCATATCTCTCTGACCTCCTACCTGGCCATCTAGGGACAGGGCTGTGGAGGAGCCCGGAGGAGAGGCAAGGGCAAAAGACTATCCTCATCAGGTATCAGGGGCAGGGGTTGGGCACCTGGGCAGCAAGGTCCCTGGTCAAGTGAAGAGGGAATGTGCAGGTCCCTGTGTGACTGGGGAGGGCAGGGCTGGGATGATTGCTAGGTAGTGACCACTGCTCTGTGTCTTGCAGAGTGCCTGCTCACTGTGCCCCCGGGTTATGACGACCCCCAATAAAGGAAACAAGGCCTTGAAGGTGAGCGGGCATGGATGGGGAAGCTGGGGCTATGACAGTGTGGGGATAGGTACCCCAGCTCTGCTGTGACTGTGCATTATGCCACCCCAGGTGAAGCGGGAGCCTGGCGAGAATGGCACCAGCCTGACAGATGAGGAGCTGGTGACCATGTCAGTGCGTGAGCTAAATCAGCACCTGCGGGGCCTGTCCAAGGAGGAGATCATCCAGCTGAAGCAGCGCCGGCGCACTCTCAAGAACCGCGGGTACGCAGCCAGCTGCCGAGTCAAGCGGGTGACCCAAAAGGAGGAGCTGGAAAAGCAGAAGGCGGAGCTGCAGCAGGAGGTGGAGAAGCTAGCCTCAGAGAATGCCAGCATGAAGCTGGAGCTTGATGCCCTGCGTTCCAAGTATGAAGCCCTGCAGAACTTTGCCAGGACCGTGGCCCGAAGCCCTGTAGCCCCAGCTCGGGGTCCTCTTGCTGCCGGCCTGGGGCCCTTGGTCCCTGGGAAGGTGGCTGCCACCAGCGTCATCACAATAGTAAAGTCCAAGACGGACGCCCGGTCTTAGGAATATGTGTGATTGCTAGGCGGTTCTTCGAGGGGCCACTAGGCGCATGGCAAAGTTGGCAGCCCTGTCCCTCTTCCTCTTTTTTCTTCCTCTCCTCCTCTCCCCCATCCTCCCTTCCCTGCAAAGCACAACCTGCACCCCAGGGGGGCTGGGCTGAGCCCCTTTGATCTCATCGTTGTCGTGCGTGTGTTTTGTGCGTTGGGATTGGTCAGTTTGGCAGTGATGTTGGGTTGCCCCAACCCCCTTTGTACCAAGGCCATGTGGGCTGGGAGTCTAGAGTGGGCACTGTGAGAATGGGCGAGGGAGAGACCCCAAGAGCAAGTGAGCAAGTGCACTGGGCCTCAGGTCTGCCCTCCTGCATGCCTGTAGGCCCCACAGGCTGCTGGGCTGGGGGATGGGACTCAAGGGGTTCTCCAGACCCAGCCAGGCAGCTCAGCTCAGCCTAGCAAAAAGAGATGGGCTCCACTCTGAGAAGTGAGATGCCCTTGAGTGCCCAGGACAGGTAAACCACCAGCCTAGGCTCTCTGGATGCTGGGGCAGGGGCCACAGCACTTGGGCCTGATGTGGTGCACTGAACAAGACCAAATCACTGGTTATATGTGTGGAGGGTATGTCAGTGTGTCCTGCGATGGGTCCTGTGTCATTGTTTACATGACCTATTTGTGTGGTTATATAGCCCTTTATTTAAAAGAAAAGTTCCTTTTACGAAGTTATTAAATTATATGTTTAAGAGCTAAAGAGAAAAAAAGAGCTGCAGAGTATTTATAAAATTGTCTTTAAAAAAAAAAAAAAAAAAAACATTTGACCGTATAAATGGAAAAGGGAAGAAAGTATGATAGAAACTTTGCTAGTTTAAAAAAATCCCTTTCTTGTAAAACTTATGGACAACTCTTTGTGGCTGTTGGAATTTAGTTTTTATATACACAGAGTTATCAGACATTATTTATAAAACTTAGTTTAAAAAAAAGACAAAAAAAAAAAAAAAAAAAAAATGCCAAGCCGCGAGCCAACCGGAGGCACCCTCTTTGATATCTTTTGCAATTGTACCGAAAGTGACTTACTCTTCTGCCCTTCCTGCTTCTGTCTCTTGCCGGTGCCGTGGTGTCCGTGCCTGGTGAGGTTTTGTGCAGCCGTAAAGTGCTGGTGCTTCTGGTGACCTTTGACCTGTGGCTGTCCCTTCTTGTGTGTTCTCCTGTGTTTGTTTTTTGGATTTGGTTGTATTTCTGCTGCTGGTTTGCCAGACCTGAGCTAGGCTGGGTCTTAGTACCTGCTCTATCCAAGTGTATGGAGGGGTCTGTACATAGGACCCTAGCTTCTGCTTTCAGCGCCTGCCATGTTCCCAGCTTGTCTACCACCAGCCTCTGCCACTCTTACCCACCCCTGCTGAGCTTTGGTTTCCTCTGTGTCTGGAGCTTGGGCTGATCCTGTGGTAGGGTATGGTGAAACTGAGGGGCCATTGGAGTCCCCGCACTGCTTCCACATCCACCACCTCTGGCCCTGGGTGGTGGTGATACAGGGACCAAGATTCACTGTGGGTTCCCACAAGGTCATGGCTAAGCTGTCCCTGGCTGTCTTCCTTCTGCCTTGGCTATGTTCATATAGGCTTCATGAGGAGCCACAGGCAGGACCCCTTGGGACCATCTTGTGGGTTTCAAGTCCCAGCATTCATTTATCCTAAACTGTTTCCATGCTATGTGGGGTGTTGCTTCCCATGCAAATTGGTCGTGGGCCCCACTAAGGGCAGCCCCTTCCTCTCCTGCCTCACTATGAGGTCCTGGGTGGCTTCACCAGTCCCAGGCAAGGGCTGTGACTCCAGAGCTAGGTCTTTTTCTTCTCTGCTGGTCCATGCCAGTAGCTCTTTGCTCTGGAACCTTCTTCCACCTTCCTTTGGAGTCTGTCTTCCAGAGACCTGATGCTCAACTTGGAGGTGCTTCTTGAGGAGTCCAACCTCCCGATTCCATCTCCCTGGTGAAGACTCACAGCTTCCTTCCAGGGTCAGCATAGGAAGCTCCTCATGGGCATGTGGCTTGGGTGGATGTTCATGTTCCCACCTGAAAGAGCCTGTTGTCTGATCTCTAGCCACATGGGCCTTGCGCTTTCGCCAGAGTTGCTGGCATTTCTCTGGGGACCCTGGAACCCAAAAAGCACAGAAATATGGGTTGGTGAGAGAAGCAGGGCCTGACAGGGCTTCACTTCATAGATAGCAGGGTTTTCACTGAGTTTGACAGCATATCATGTGATAGAAGCTGAGTATCTTTTGGCTGTGGTTTCTTGACAGGCTGCTTTTGCTCAAGATGGTCAGACTCTACTATAGGTATCTGAGGCTGCAAAGGAATGTTGTGTCTGTTGGCATCATCCCTTCCCTCCGTGGGGTTGTCTAAGTCCAGATGAGAGTTGCTCGAGTTGACTGTGTAGCAGTTAGAGAATGTCAATGGGTTGTGCTTACGGTAAAGAAAGGGGTGAGGGACATACACATTTGGACCTGGCTGTGTGGTGGTGTCTCACTGAATGTGCCCTCCAGGTGCAGACCAGATCACACAGGGAGTGTGCTAGTGGTGAAGAGGAGGCCGGGGCTGGGTTTGTGTTCACAGAAGGTGTGGGTCTTGGTTCCAAGTTTACAGAACCTTCTCTAGTTGGTAAGGCCATGCGTTCTTTTGTGGTTTTTGGATTTGGAGCACCTGTTCCTTGAATTGGGGAGTATACTGGCTCCTTGTCAGGCCATCACTGCAGGGCACATCACTCCTTTGTTGCCATCTTGATTTATTGACAGTAGATCTTGTGTCCACATCTGTTAGCTGTCTTTCTGATCCTGGTTAATTCCGTTTTCCTGCTGTGAGGGTATTGTGGTCTACTTTCATTTCTCAGCTTTTCTGACACAGCGAATTGAGGGCTTTGGCCAAGGCCAGGTCTCCCAAACATGTCCGCTAAGTAAATCATAAAGTGTGTCTTCCTTCCCATCTTGACTTTTTGTCTCTTATCCTTCTCTTATCTTGAAATGTACACTCAGATTTCAGAGGAAAAACCCAGGGTGAACAGGTCAGCTCTTGCCAAAGAGTATGGCCCCAGGGCACCCTCCCTGTGGTCCCTGCCTGCTGCTCCAGGGTGGCTCTGCCATTAGTTCAGGTGCTCTGTGGCTGCTCTGTGTTGTGTGCAGGGTTTTCTGCTGGCACCAGGCCTCCCAGTAGGCTGCCCTTGGTCTGCTCTTGAGGTCTGTGTGCTTGCCTATGACTGTCAGCAGTAGCCTCAGTGGTCAGTGCCTGGGCTTGCAGCTTTGATAAACCATAGCAGGCCACATCTCTGCTGCCTTCCTCTCTGGAGTGGCCACTTGGCCAAAGTTCCCATCCACAGCTGGGAAACCTGAGCCACAGCCTACTGCACCATTTCCTCTCTGGGATCTTGTGAGTTACTTTTTTAGGCTGTGGTTTGGTGAAAGGAACCAACACATTAACGACTTTTTCCCCCCAGAAGCCACTGAATAATTCTTGGCATGTTTTTGCTTTCCTGTTGGGTGTTCGGTTTTGGAGCAGTTGTGGAGAGCAGAGAACATAATCAGTGGCGCACAGAGGCAAGGGTGTGCCCAAGCTTCCCATGGCCCGCCCTCCTTCTGGCCTGCATGACCTGGGTGTATGCTGTTCCTGCTGGGCCAGTCACATACATTTTTTACCACACCCCTGGAACAGCCACGTTGATACAGGTGTGCCTCCAGTTTGAGATGGAGTGTAATTGTTCCAATTAGCTGTGAGACCTCTCACTTTTTGGTGACCCTAGTGGGGCTCTCAACCCCATCAGCCGCCTCATGTCCCAGCCCTGCCCTTCCTCCTGTTCCCTCCATTTGCTAGTCCCTGAAGCCTTTAACCAAACGGGAGTGGGTAGAGAAAGCCTTCTCCTGACAATTTAGGGCAACAGGACAAGGGCTATCCGGTCCCACTCTGTTGGTCTTTCTGTTGAGGTGTGTCCAAACAAGAGTTCACCTATGGACTAAACCAGGGAGTCCTGGGATCTGCTGAGGTGAGATGGGGTATCCTTGAAGATCTGAATGAGGCATGGTGGGCTCTGGCTGTGAGGGGTGAGGCCTGGGACCCCACACCAGTGTAGGGTGGCCAGTGGCCTGGCCTTGGCGGGCAGCCACCCTGCTGCCCACCTGTGCCCTGCGCAGTATTTATTGCTAAATTATTGTCCAGGAGGGGTGGCGCTCATTCTGGGCAAACCCCCCCGGGTATTTATTGCTGTATATAGTGTACGTTTGTGATATATAAGGTTTTCTTTATTTTGTATATGATCAATAAACGCCTTTTAAACAGATCTATGAGTACTACTTCGGATCACTACGCTACGTGCTGCGCGCCGGTGAGGGGCCGGAAGCAGTTGACCAGGCGCAGGAAGGGGCGGGGTGGGCTTGACGTACGCACGTCTGCGTGCCTGCCGGGTGAGGCGGAAGCCGGAAGCGCGGTCCAGGAGTGATGGCAGCCGGAGGCCTGAGCCGCTCAGAGCGCAAGGCGGCGGAACGAGTCCGGAGGCTGCGGGAGGAACAGCAGCGGGAGCGTCTTCGCCAGGTAGGCCACCGCCAGCCTCACGTTCACCCGTGCCCACACTGTCGCTCACTACCTGCTTGCCCGCCCGCCTGCAGGTGTCGCGCATCTTGAGGAAAGCGGCGGCGGAGCGCAGTGCTGAGGAGGGCAGGCTGCTGGCGGAGAGTGAGGACCTAGTAACGGAACTACAGGGCCGGAGCCGGCGACGTGAGGGTCTGAAGCGGCGTCAGGAAGAGGTAAGTCCCGAGCGGTGGCTCGGGAGGGGCGAAGGGAGGGGCAGGCTGGATGACCGAGGACCTGGGCTCCTGGCAGGTGTGCGATGACCCTGACGAGCTACGAAGGAAAGTCCGGGAGCTGGCCAGTGCTGTCCGGAACGCCAGATACTTGGTGGTCTACACAGGTGCAGGCATCAGTACGGTAAGTAGGGAGGGGCGGGCAGATCTGGCCTGTGGCACGGCCAGGTGGGTGTGGGGCGCCCCCTTCTGGTAGACTGATCTGGGACAGAATCCAGTACTAGACTCGCTAATCGTTAAAGAACTCTAAAATAAATAATAAATAAACAAATGAAGCAACTCAAGGGTGTCTTCCTTCCTCAAAGATACGCGAAAAGACTAAAAACTAAGGCAAAGACTTTTAAAAAAACACATCACCTGTATTTGTCGATCAGTTAAAGACAAGGAACAAAGATAGAAACTGTAGTAACTACTTGTTGGCACCTCCTCTCTTGAAAGTTGAGGTCAGTTGATTGACCAGATTGTGTGGACAGCTAACCTTCAGGATTTTCATTTCTCGATTCCCGACTTCCTGTGTTTCCCCCACGTTGAAGATAAGTAGAAAACAAGACAGAATTAGGATATACCAGGTAGGGGCTGAGGAGATGGCTCAGTAGAGTAAGTGCTTGCCTGGCAAGTGCAAGGGCCTGAGTTCAATCCCCAGTTCCTCAAAAAAAGAAAAACTCTCCTGGGTCTGTGGCACATCATTAACTGTGAAAATGTGTCAGGTACATCATCCATGTGATTCGACAACAGGTGAATACAAAGTGTTAGGCAGGTGTAGGCCCGACAGAAGTAAACACTAAGCGATTTCTGCTCTCAAGAAAGAAGCCAAAAAAAAAAAAGAAAGAAAGAAGCTATTAGCTGGGGAGATAGCTCAGCGGTCGAAGCATCTGCCTGGCAAGTGCAAGGACCTGGGTTCAATCCCCAGTACCACATGCCGTGCTGACTCCCAAGACTGTGCATGGTGGTGCACACCTGTAATCCCAAGCACTGGGAAGGCTTGAAGCAGAAGGATCACAAGTCTGAGCTTTGTAGTGGGACCCTATACCAAATAAATAAATAATAAATACATGATTTTTTTTTTTTTTTAAAGCCATTAGGTAACTGAGCGTGATGATGCATAGTAGTAATCCCAGCTGCTTGGGAGACTGAGGCCGGAGGATCAAAAGGTAGAGGCTAATCTAGACAATTCAGCAAGACCCTGTCTCAAAAAAAATAATAATAGTAATAGAGAAGTGTAAGGGATATAACTCAGTGACACAGCACCTCCCTGGTAAGTGTGAGATCTTAAGTTCAGTTCCTTGTAACAAAAAAAAAACAAAGTCTAGGGAGGGCACACATGAGGTCCTAAGTTTGAACCCTGCTACTTAAAAGCTGTTAGCTAACTTTAATGTTACTTTCACACAAATCCAGATATACTTTGAAAGCTGAGTAGAGTGAGCCATGCCTGTAGTCCTAGCTATTCCAGAGGTTAAAGTGGGAAGATCTCAGGTTCAAGGCCAGCTTGTGACACATAGCAAGACCCTATCTCAAAAGCAAAAACAAAGATAAAAATGATGGATAGTCTATTCAAAGCTAGGAAGTCTCTTCCTATGAGCTTACTGAGGCAGGTGGCATTGAGTCAGGGCCTCAAAGTATAAGATTTATAGGTGGGGCCGGGGAGATGGCTCAGTAGGATAAGCGCTTGACCGGCAAACGCAAGGATCTGAGTTCAATCCCCGGTTCCGCAAAAAAAAAAAAAAAAAATTTATAGGTGAAGGTAGACCTAAGATACTCCAAATAGGTAACAGAGGCTCAGTAGCAAGAACGTAAGGTGCATTCACTGTTCTAATTCATAAATACCTGGAACATCTCCAGCACCCCTGTCCAAAGCCACATGTAAAATCTAGTCATGTGATTGTTTAACAACAGTAATGTGGCCTTTTGCAAAGCTTGTAGAGACAAGGGGCTGGGGAGAGGGCTCAGTGGAATAAGCGCTTCCCTGGCAAGCGCAAAGACCCGAGTTCAACGGTTCCGCAAAAAAAAAAAAAGCTTGTAGAGACAAATATCAGGAGTGGCTAGTCAGTTTGACTGGAGCTTTACTGTTTGAGGTTCCTCTCTTGCACAGTCTAATCACTTTCAGAATGAGTATATTTTTTGAGCTTAAGCAACAGTGAGGAGCCAGAAGGGAATGCAGAATGCCTGCATCTTGAACACTTTCTGCTCCATTGGGTATGTTTGTTTCACTGAATTAGAAACTTGGTAAATTAGATAATATTTACCTCATCTAGAGAGACTTGTCGTATATGTGTTAAGGTGGAATAGGAACTATAGCGCTTCAGAATATAAGAATTTGGAAGGAGCAGTGCTCCTACCCACAAGCTTGACTGGCTAAACCTTTTTTGAGAGCTGAGCCTGGCCCTGTGGACACAGATGAACATGACCAGTTACTCCTCAATGTTGAGAACAAATGTTGACTACAGAGCCCAGGTTTGTATTCAGTGCTAGAAAAGATGGTCAAGGGGGTATCAGGGTTCCATAGTACCTGAAAGGGTGATCTTGGCCATGTGGGAGGGAGAGTTAATAGAAGGGGCTATATCAGGGCACACTCAATTTTGGGTCCAGGCAGGTCAGCTGTGGACAGAATGGGCCAATTTGTGGGCCAGTCTGGAATATAGCATTGTCCCATTTAAGGGAATTTTGCCAGTCCATACAGAGGTGCCCTTTGACTGGGCTCTTTTTTCTGAATGTGCAGGCAGCCTCTATCCCAGATTACCGGGGCCCGAATGGAGTGTGGACGCTGCTTCAGAAAGGGAGGAGTGTGAGGTGAGCAGCCCAGCAACCTTCCTTCATGGTAGAACTGGCCATGTGGGCCTGAGTAGCTGCTCCCTCACCCCTGCTTTCCCTTCTGCCCAGCAGCGCTGCTGACCTGAGTGAGGCTGAGCCCACCCTCACCCACATGAGCATCATGCGTTTGCATGAGCAAAAACTGGTAAGAACACTGTAGCTGGCATATCCACCAGGCCTGGGACCCAGAACCCCACCTAGGTACTGTTCAACTCTGAAGAGTGAACAATCCGCCTTGGGTCAGACTCTTCTTTGATGCTACTGTCCTTTCAAGAAGAAAGGACAATCCCTGTTTCAAGCTCTTCTGATCCAGCTTGGAGCTTCTCTTGCATTGCCCATGGGCCTTGGAAAAGGCCCTAGCCACAAGGGAGGCTTCTCAGAAACCTCCAGAGACCTTCATAGGGAAGAGTAGACCTGCATGGACCCTACCCTTGGCAACGTGAAATAGAATGACCCAAGAGGGTGTGAATCTGGGTGGAATGTTTCTGTCTGCTGCTTTCACCTAAGTACAGAGCTGCTCCCCAGCCTGGTAGGAACAATAGAGACATTTGTTGTCCTAGTCACTCATAAGGGAAGAACACAGTGCCCACCTCCCCACCATAGGACTCTCCTTCCTGGGGGATACGGCTACATCTCCCATACACTTGACTTTCTGGCCAGGGAGATAGCTAAGCGGCTTAAGTGCCTCCCATATACTTGACTTTCTGAGGGGTTTTTTATGCGATTATGGTGGCCCTTGGTCTTGGCAGCTCTTGGCCACCCTACTCGTGATTGCTATCATGTCTGCCTTCCAGGTACAACATGTGGTGTCTCAGAACTGTGACGGGCTCCACCTGCGAAGTGGGCTGCCTCGAACAGCCATCTCGGAGCTCCACGGGAACATGTACATTGAAGTGAGCAGTCCTGAAGGGACAAAGGGCCTGGGCAGCAGGTGAGTCCCACTCACTGTGCCTTCTTGTTCTCAGGTTTGCACCTCCTGCATCCCCAACAGGGAGTATGTGCGTGTGTTTGATGTGACAGAACGCACCGCTCTCCACCGACACCAGACAGGCCGGACCTGCCACAAGTGTGGGGCTCAGCTCCGAGATACCATTGTGCACTTTGGGGAGAGGGGAACACTGAGGCAGCCTCTGAACTGGGAAGCAGCAATGGAGGCTGCCAGCAAAGCAGACACGATCCTGTGTTTAGGGTCCAGCTTGAAGGTATGGGCTGATGACACCATGAGCTCCCTGGGAAGTAAGATTGTTAAACACCCTTACCTACCCAAACTCATCCAATTGGCGTTTGATTCATTTCTCCAGCCTTGTTCTCTTTGTGTGCTGTGTCTGTCTGTCCATCCATTCTCCAGGTTCTAAAGAAGTATCCCTGTCTCTGGTGCATGACCAAGCCCCCTAGTCGGCGACCCAAGCTCTACATTGTGAACTTGCAGGTAACTTGGGTACTAACATCTGTGCCCTTACACCTGGGCCTTAGATCAGAAGAATCAGAGGAGTGTGGCACTTTCATGAACCTTGGAGGTATAGTGCAGGCCCAAGTAGGCCTGTGAGAAGTGTCCACCAGCCAGTGACTCAAGGCTGACAGGCCTGTGGGAAGGACTAAGGTTTGGTCTCACTCACCTTTCCTGCCATTAGTGGACTCCAAAAGACGACTGGGCTGCCCTGAAGCTTCACGGGAAGTGTGATGATGTCATGCAGCTCCTCATGGATGAACTGGGCTTAGAGATCCCCCTCTACAACAGGTGAGTGGATGTAGCCACATCATTGCCACATCCCTGCCTCTCCATGTGGTGGGCCATGTCTGTCTGCTCCTGTGAGCAGAGTGTGCAGGAAGCTCTGAGGTGGTGTTGAGTGCTGAGGTGTGACTGAAGCATGGTGGCAGCCAGAGGGACTGGCCTCCACGGCTGGCTGAGGCAAGACTCCATGCATACACACTTCGGCCTGGCTGTTGTGCCCAGATGCTCCTCAGGGAGAGGGGATGTCCAGTATGTTCCGATACAACATTCCTGTTGGCCTGTCAAACAAACCTGGATGGAAAGAGGCCTTGAGGGGATGAGAACTCAGCAACTCTGGTCAGACAGACTCAGTGTCCTTGGTTTTGGGAGTTGGCATATTTGGGGGAAGCTTAAAATGTCTTAATTCAGAATTTGTGATAATTTAGACTTGGTGTATGTATTGAGTAAAAAGTTTACACTTTCTTTCTCTGTGAATTTTCAGGGTCTTATAGGGGAAATCAATAACTTCTTTTAATCAAAGGGTTCAAGAAATTAAGGATCCCTTCACCTCTGGGCCTGGCAATTCTTGTATGTTATGTTTGTGGTGTTCTGTGACGTGGGCCTATCGTGTCCTGTATTTTTTTTTGCATTAACTTAGTTCATTTTTTTTTTATCAGTGCATATCTGTATCTTACGTTTATAATCTGTGGTTCTACATCTCAGACACATGATTCCTTCTCGGTGTAGTCTGTAGGCCACACCTCCCTAGTCAGCTGGCCTTCCCTCCCTTCATCAAGCAATATGGGAAGGGGGAATAGGATCTGGTCTACCTGCCCCTGGCCATATGAAAGGTGGGGCCCAGGGTTGCTAGTGATTCACCCTTGGAGAAGGAGGTGGCCTAGCCTGGCCACCCTACCCTATGCCTGCACTGTGGATAAGACACTGAGTTCTGAGGCCAGCGGGTGCTGGCCTGTGAGTTGCCATCCAAGGAGGTTACCTCTCCTGCAGCTCTTGTGTAGCTTGGTAACAGCCACAGCTAAAACTCGGGGAGGGAAGGGTCAGGAGGGCAGGTGACCTCCTCAGACAGCTTTCCTCATGATGGGGCGGGTTCAGACTGAGCACTGCTAGGTCCACCTGATGCCTCTTTCCCTTTTTGGTAGGTGTCAGGACCCCATCTTCTCCATGGCAACTCCCCTGCGAGCTGATGAAGAAGGCAGCCACAATCGAAAGTCACTATGCAGAAACAGAGAGGAGGCCCCACCCGAGGACCGGAGCACCCCTCTTAGCTCTGCTGCCATCCTAGGGGGCTGGTTTGGCAGGGGCTGTGCCAAACGTGCAAAGAGGAAGAAAGCGACATAACATGATGTTGACAAAAACAACAATTGGCACTTTGAAAATGGCTGGAACTTTTATTCAGGGGCAAGTGTCACCATAGCCAGCTTATCCTCACAAAGCCTAGTGTGAGCTCCTGGGTGACATTTCACTCTGACATTTTTAGCCATTTGTCCTTTTGGGAAGACCCCTTGCACTGCTGTGGTCTAATGTGGGCTTGATCCCTGAGGGCACCTTCTCTATACAAGGGACGGCAGCGGGCCTTTCTGTGAGAACAGAGTTCAGGGTTCTGGGCCTGGCTGGCAGAGGAGCCCACCGCTGCCTTAGCTCACTCACCCAGCTACTCTCAGGGCCTCCTGTTTCTACTACTTCTTACTAAATGTTAACTTTATAGAAACGTTTCTCTGTTGGGTGTTGCAGCAGAGCGGTGATTCTGAGCCTCTGCCCCGAGCAGACTTCCTTCCTGATTAAACATCTCTGCACTGTCTTTGCCTCGAGTGGCTGTTGTTTTGCTCACCTGGAACGCCGCTCAGGTTCTGGGAACCTGAGGTCCCTAGGGTGTGAGGGGTGACACCCTCTTGAGTCCTGCCCTACCAGACCACCAATTGCGAGGTGGGGGCGGGGCCCTAGTGGGCGTGTGGCACTCTGCATTGGCTGTAGGCTGAGGGGGTGTGGCTTTGTGGCCGGCGTGATGTGTCATTGGCTGGGTGGAGGGAAGGGAGTCAGGGTGGGCGAGGTGAAGCTCAGAGTGGGTGGCGCACGCCATTGGTCGCGCACGGCGGGTGAGGCCCGCGTGACGGCTCGTGAGGGCTAGAGAGCCGGGCGGGGCTGCGGGGCTCCGGCGCTGAGAGTTTCCGGAGCTCAGGGCCACGCCACCACCGCGGGACTATGATCCGGAACGGGCACGGGACTGCGGAAGGTGCCGGGCAGCCCGGTCGGGGGGCCAGGAGCGCCGTGCGTGTGTGGTGCGACGGCTGGTGAGTGGGGCTGCTGTGGCGGGCGGTCCCCTCCCGGGGTAACATGCCGGCCGTTGTCCTGGGCCAGGCCCGCGCCTTGGTGAACCCTGGCCTTGCCGTGAGGGAGCTGGCCCCAGGGCTCCCCGATATGCACCCCCGCAGCTCTGCAGCGGTGCCCATGGGCCCAGGACCCTCCAGGGCTTGGGGCTTGAGGCCACACGAGTCCAGCTAGTCCACTGGTCGCTCCGAAGGAGCGAAGCATGCAGTTGCACAGCTGCCAGCAGTGTCCTCCAAGAAGGGCAAGATATTTCCTGCGGGCGAACAGCAGGGATCCCCGGGGTGGTGGGATGCACAGGCCACCGGGCCTCGGCGGGGCTGGGATTCAGTAGGCTTCTCTGCCAAATTAAGCAAGGGCATTACTGTCAGAAAAGTTGAGGGTTTTCGACAAATAAAAGGAAAACTGAGCTCTTCAGTAACTTGTTGGCTTGCTTTCTCGTGCGGTAACTGACTGAGGAGGTGGCAAAGAAATAGAACTGGTCAACCCATGTGGGCAGGACTTTGTACTTTTTTACATCTCAGTCACCTTGGGAATAGGAATGTGGCTTCGTGTCAGTCGACTGTGACCTTGGCCCTGACTGGGGGCCACAGTACCTGGACTTTCCACCGCCTTCCTTTCCCTGTTGTGTTCCCCTCTAACCCGGCCTGTCCAGCGGCATATAGGTTGGCCACATTTCACTCTTGCCTGCTGGGGCCATCTTAGTTGGCTCCTGAAGGTAAGGCAGGAAAGGTTTGGTTTATTTAGCTCACACTTTGTAAAGGTTTCAGGCTATAGTAGGCTGGCTCCCAGGCAGGGTGGCACATGAAAGAGGGGTAACTGTTCATGTTGGTCGGAGACAGTGAAAGCAAGAAGAGAGCAATAGCAAGCCCGTTTCCCTTATATTGTACCCAGTCTGTGGGGTTTTGGGTGGTGCCAATCTAATCAGTGGACTGACCTCGCAATCACCCACCCTTAATCCCAGCATTGCACTACAAATCAATCACACTGGATTCAGACATCTGAACAAAAGTATGACCTCATGAGATTTTGGGGGACATTAGACACAAACCGTAATCTGTGTTGCGGTGGAGTGAAAGGGGTCAAGCAGAGCACAGGTCTGGTCCACAGAGAAGTGCTCTGGTTGTTAGCAGTGCACACAAAAACACCCATGGAAAGGGCTCATGGCCTGACCCAGATTTGAGGGCAAGAGCTCAAACACCAGGTGACAGAAGCAGTTATGCACCCAGAAAGCTAAGCCAGGCCACGGGGGATGAAAACTGGGATTTTCTTTTCTTTTTTTTTCTTTTTTCTGGTAGAACCGGGGATTGAACTCAGGCCCTTGCACTTGCCAGGGAAGTGCTTATTCTACTGAGCCATCGCCCCAGCCCTGAGAACTGGGATTTTCAAAGCCAGCAATTCGCAGGCTCTTGTATTTTGATTTGAGTTTTTGGTTTATGTTGGCCCCAGAGACTGGATTGCCTACTTGTGTCACAGTTAATGTTGGTTTATTATTATTATTATTATTATTATTATTATTATTATTAATCTTTTTGAGATGGGGTCTTGCTATGTGATTCAGGCAGGCCTTTAGATCACTTTGTAGCACAGCAACTCACAGTAATCCTGTTCCACCTCCTGAGTGCCAGAATTTCAGGTGTGCCCCACCACAGGCTCAATGTTGATTTATTTTAGAGACTGAGGAGTATATTTGGTGATGGGAGGGAACCAAGGGCAAAGAGAATCTAAGAGCTGGGTGTGGTGGCACATGTCTGTAATCCCAGCAATTGGGAGGCTGAGGCAAGAGGATTGAGACCAGGCTAGGCTACAGAGTAAGCTCAAGGTCTGTGTGAACTATATAGTAAGACCCTATTTTAAAAACACTATAATGGGGGGGGGGGAGAAAGAAAGAGAAAAAGAGGATCTAAGGCACTGGAAATGATCATGTAGCTCTCAGTGGGTGATTCTGGCACTACAGGTCAGCTAAGTACCCACCTCCTCTCTGAAAGACCAGGGTGGGCTGGGTCATGGGAGCAGTTCCAAGTATTGATTCTCTAAGGACTTTTTTTTTTTTTTTTTTAAAAAAAAAAAAAAAACCTTTAGGGGTCTTCACTACTAGATCAGACTCGTAGTGATCCCCCTGTTTACAGCCTCCCAGGAGCTGGGATGACCAGCGCGCACCACTACACCCAGTCTCAATTGCCATCTCAGTGCGCCCCCGAGGGCGGGGCTGACACAGCAAGCCCAGGGATCAAACCCCCAACCCCTGCACCTGCTTGCAGCTGCTTTAATCTGCTGAGCTATTTGTTTTTGTTTTTTGTGGTACCAAAGATACTGAGCTATCTCCCCGGGCCCCGCTGAGCTATTTGGCTGGCCCTTCTGAGGGCTTCTAAAGGTCCAGAAGGAGCAGAGCTGCACCCTCTCACAGGGTCTCCTAGTTCCCGGTCGTACTGCTACAGTACTCCTCTCTTCTGTTTCCACAGCTATGACATGGTGCATTATGGCCACTCCAACCAACTGCGCCAGGCGCGGGGTATGGGCGACTACCTCATTGTGGGTGTGCATACTGATGGTAAGGTGTGGGCTACAATGCCACCCATCACCCCACAGTCTGCCTGGGGCCACCCCAGCTGATGAAAGGCCTATAGGACTGAGGGAGACAGACAGGAAGACCCATATCCCTCCCCAGAACATAATATGAGTGAGAGCTTAGCAAGCTAGATGCAGCCTGGCCCCAGCTGGAAATGCCCCAAGATATAGAGAATAAACTAGTGGAGTCCATGTGCAGTGCTGGGCCAAGTCTCTCCAACTGTGCTGCCTGTTCCCCTCCAGCCTTGACCTAGTTCCCATGGCCTATAGGGACTGGCTCCTTTCCTGGGTCAAGGGGCCATCCTATTACCCAGCACAGGCTCTGAGCATATATACTGGCCAGAGGGCAAGCAGTAACCACTTGCATGTGGTCCTGGCCTATGCAATGAGGGCTCAATGATAGTGGCTGGCTGCCCACCACATACCCACCTATGGGGCCACAGACCTGGTCAGTACAGGGAAACAGGTTCCTGAGGAAGCCAGCTAAAAGTCACTTGTTTGTCCTTGTCCTTTTCTCTGACCCTAGAGGAGATTGCCAAGCACAAGGGGCCTCCGGTGTTTACCCAGGAAGAGAGATACAAGATGGTACAGGCCATCAAGTGGGTAGATGAGGTGGTACCTGCTGCTCCCTATGTTACCACACTGGAGACACTGGACAAGTACAACTGTGACTTCTGTGTTCATGGCAGTGAGTGGGCGGGACTTGGGAACAAGGGCTGGGCCCATTCCCAGACCTCCTGGTGGGGCATCTGGAGATGGTGGGGATCTGAAAAAGCTCTAGGTCCCTACCCAGAAACAAGCACACAAACAGTAGGGCTGGCAGCCTGGGGTGGAGAGGATCCTGGACCCTTGGAGAACTCTGGGTTAAGATTTCTTACTTCTAAGTACATGTCACCCCGTAGATGACATCACATTGACCGTTGATGGCCGTGATACCTATGAGGAAGTGAAGCAGGCAGGGAGGTACAGGTAAGTCCTCAGGCAGCCCCACTCCGAGAGCAGGGCATACGGTTCCCTCCCAGCTCATTTGTGGCTGTTCTGTACTACTCTGCAAGACGAGGATAGCTGGGCCTGTGGCCAGGGCTGGCAGCTGTGGCAAGGAAGGTGCTTGTTGTGGGTTTGGGTCTGACAGCCCAGCTGTGTAGCAAAGATGTAGCATTCTTTTTTTTAATTTATTTATTTGTGTGTGTGTGTGTGTGTGTGTGTGTGTGTGTCCAGCTCAGCCCACCAGGGGGCGGGGCTGGCTGGCATGTCGTGCTGGAGGATTGAACCGCAGTCCCTGTGCTTTGTTAAGCTTGTTCTAAGTAGGTGCTTTAGACCACTGAGCCATCTCACCAGCCCAAGATGTAGCATTCTTCATGGTTGCTGGCTGTCAGGGTATAACTACTGAACATTGCAGCACAGCTGGTGCCTCTGAGGAGCTGCTTTTAATTAACTTTAAAGATCTGGCTGTTTTCAGCAGCTCCTGCATGGGGCATTGGAGCCTGGACTTCTTTTGGTGGAGAAGGTACACCTGGGCACTTTGGACATAGGAATATAGCAATCTTCATATTGTTTTACTCCTGTGGTTTTCTTTATTTTATTATTATTTATTTATTTATTTGGAAAAATTTGCAGCTCGGACTTGTAGTGATCCTCTGTCTCAGCCTCCCTAGCGCTGGGATTACAGGCATGTACCACCATGCCTGGTTTGGGTGGCCAGCATGGTGCACCCAGGGTTCCGGGGCTGGTACATATGCGATAAAGAGGATTAAACCCAGGTCTTTGCACTTTCCAGGCAAGCATTTAGGCCACCGAGCTATCTCCCTGGCCCTCCTTTTTTTTTTTTTTGCGGAACCGGGGATTAGAACTCAGGCTCTTGGGCTTGCCAGGCAAGCACTTATTCCACTGAGCCATCTCCCCAGCCCTTTTTTTTTTTTTTTTTGCTCCCTGGCCCTCCTATGATTCTCTTTAAAGGAAAAAACACAGTGCTCTTTTTCCTGCTCCTAGTCTGAGTTTTCCCTTGCAGCTGAGTATGGGGAAGAGGCACTGGTGTTGGGGCAGGTTGAGCGTCATATCTCTCAGGTGGCGCCTGTTATTCGTGGAGCCTGGCTAATGTGCCCAAGATGCAAAGTCCCTAACCCCACCTCTGCCCCTCAGAGAATGCAAGCGCACTCAGGGTGTGTCAACTACAGACCTCGTGGGCCGCATGCTGCTGGTGACCAAGGCCCATCACAGCAATCAGGTGAGTCTGAAAAGAATGATCAGAGTCCCTAGGTTGAAGTCATTGCAAGCAGGGCAGGAGTTCCACTCACCATCTACCCGTAGGGTCTCCTACCCTGCCTCTCAGTGTTCTCTCCCTGTGTGTATAGGAGCTGTCCTCTGAGTACCGCGAGTATGCAGACAGCTTTGGCAAGGTGAGTGGCCACCTGGGGAGTGGAGTGATGCCTGCTGCCAGGCTCTGTCTTGCACTCATCTCCCTAGCAACCCTCCTTTGGGGATGGGTACTCAGAGGTTCACTGTTAGCTCTCCTCCCTCCTTTCCTAGCACTCACCAGGCACTGTCTGCCAGGTCTGGCCAACTGAGAAGACATAGAGCAGCCTTTAACCAAGTGGCCTGGCCCTCTCTTCCTTTGTAGCCCCCTCACCCAATACCTGCCAGGGACACGTTTTCCTCAGAAGTTTCCTCTCAAGTGACCAGATGGTGGACTTGGTGTGCTAGGCCCCACAGAGGCCTGTGTCCACCAGCCTTAGACTTCTTTTGGCCAGTCATGTCTGTGGTTGTGGCTAGACCTCCCCTGCTAACCACCTCTCTCTCTTGGCTGACAGTGCCCTGGAGGACGGAACCCCTGGACAGGGGTGTCCCAGTTCCTACAGACATCTCAGAAGATCATCCAGTTTGCTTCTGGAAAGGAGCCCCAGCCAGGGGAGACTGTAATCTATGTAGCTGGGGCCTTCGACCTGTTCCGTATCCTCTGCAGGCCTCTATTGTGACATACTCATATTTGGATCAGGGTTGCAGCTTGGGCTGTGGGCTCCTCAAGCTTTGGGGCTGGGCTGGGTGCAGAGGGACAGCCATCAGAGAGGATGGTGGTGGCAGCAGTGGATATGAACTATTGGGGGCCAGAAGTACTTGCCCTCCCTGTCTATTCTTACCTCTTAACCTGTGCACAGACATTGGACATGTGGACTTCCTGGAGAAGGTGCACAGGCTGGCAGACAAGCCCTATGTCATTGCTGGCTTACACTTTGACCAGGTCTCTGCCTGCCTTCTGGTTCCCCAGTACCCAGGGTGCTTATGAGCCATAGAAGCCCTTGAGCCGGGGAGATGGTTCAGTAGAATAGAAGCCCTTGAGGGGGAACCTGAGATCAGTGTGGGCTCTGGTGGCCTGTAGAGGCAAAGGGGATCCCCTGGGGCTGAGCCTGGTTCTCTTCTGGGGTTAAGGACTTCTGTCTGGGGTGCTCCTGTGAAGAAGCCACTTTTCCCAATTTCTGCCCACCAAGGACAGCTGGGAGAGAAGGCGGTTTGTCTGCTTGAGGTCCTCAAGCTAAGCCAACCTCTGCTCTGGTCGTAGGAGGTCAACCGATACAAGGGGAAGAACTACCCCATCATGAACCTGCACGAGCGGACACTGAGTGTGTTGGCCTGCCGGGTGAGTGGAGTGCTTTCCACACTGAGGAACCCAAGGGATCCCCTGAACTATGGGCCAACCATATTGCCCTATCCTTGTTGGCTTACTTATAGCCTTGGCCCTGTGTTGGGGCTGTACCCCTGGCACCCTGCAAGCCCTGGCTTGCTGGAAGTGGGGACCAGGTGAGCCCTCCTGCTTACTGTCTTCACAGTACGTGTCAGAAGTGGTAATTGGGGCACCATATGCAGTCACAGCAGAGCTTCTGGGTCACTTCAAGGTGAGGTTTCTTGTGGGGTGGGCAAATGATATCACCATGAGCTTCCTGGAGGCCCTGGGATAAGAATTGGGTGGGGCCCAGACACCCAGGGCCAGGGCCTGCCTGGGTGGTATCAGTGGTGGTGGCTTCCCTGGGGAAGGCTCCTGACTGCTTTCCCTCCCCAGGTGGACCTGGTATGTCACGGGAAGACAGAGATTGTACCTGACAGGGATGGGTCTGATCCCTACCAGGTGGGTTGCACTAATCTTCCTTGGGTCAGGGTTGACAAGCTCCTGAGCCTCACCTGAGAAACAGCACAGCCATTCTTGCTGCTGCAAGGCCCTGCAGCACAGTGAGGCAGGCTTAATGGTCAAGAGGGACCTCATCTTCTCCCTCTTTTTGAGGCCCCTAGGAGCCCAAGAGAAGAGGCATATTCCGCCAGATTGACAGTGGCAGCAACCTCACCACAGACCTTATTGTGCAGAGGATCATCAAGAACAGGTACCCCCACCTGGGGTGGTCTAGTTGAGAGGCATGTATACCTGCCAGTGACTACAGGTCCCCTGGCCTAGCTCACCCCTGCACGGTCCCTCCCCAGGTTAGAATATGAGGCACGAAACCAGAAGAAAGAAGCCAAGGAACTAGCCTTCCTGGAGGCCATGAGGCAACAGGAGGCACATCCCATGGGGGAGGATGAGTAGACTGCCAGCCCACAGGACTGTCTTGGAGAGCCTGGGCACCATGGCACCCACTCTGCTCTGTTTCTGCGTCTAAGCACCCATGATTCTAAAGGAAGCCGCGGCATCACCCTGGCTGGCCACAGAGGTCCAGCGTGGAGGCTGTTGCTCCTACTGCAAGGTGCCTGTCCTGCAGCAGGCCTTCAATTCTCACCACATGGGAGTGGCGCAGCCTGTATGACAAGCAGAAGGCATCTGTGACCCAAGGAATTCTTCTGTCTGCTTCTGCTGACTGGGTTCCAGCTGTAGCTCCTCCATCTTGGATGGGCATGCCCTCTCTCCTAGCTGACAGCTGTACTCACTCTCCACCCAGCTTTCATTGGGAGCACAGATGGGACAGCCTTGGGGAGCTGTGGCCCTGGGGTTGGTTGCCTCCAAGTGGGCACACTCTGTCATGCAGTACATCCCAGCACCCCTTGCCTGGCTCCAGAAGGATTTCAATTTGCCCTGCCCACCGACCCAGCCTTGTCATTCTTCCACAGACTTCTGGTTGTCCATGCTATACTCAGTGGCTGGTATAACTCATTGCAACTGAATAAAGCTTGGTGGGACATTCTGTCTTGTTCCTAGCCCTATGGAAGGAGCAGGGAATTGTTCCACCCTGCCTGTGGTGATAGTGGGCCCCAGGTGCTGCCACACTACTTCCCACTGCCCCATGCAGGGGCTCCTAGAGAAAGGAACAGGAGGAAGCCTGACAGCTCAGCCCCACCCTAGGCTCCTCCAAATGGCCACAGGGTCTTAGTATCTGTTATCTTTGGTGGGCTTACTTGTAGCAGCCCTGTCAGGGCTAAGGACCACCCCTTCCTGGTGGTTGTGAAGTAACAATATGGTGGGTTTTGTACCATTCAAAAGAGAGTGGGAGGAGCCGAGGAGATAGCTCAGTAGAATAAGCACTTCCCTGGCAAGCACAAGGGACTGAGTTCAATCCCTGATTCCACAAAAAAAAAAAAAAAAGAGGGAGGGCTGGGGAGACAGTTCAGTGGCATAAGCACCTGCCTGCAAGCACAAGGTCCTGAGCTCAAACCCCAGTACCAACAACAAAAAAAGATGGGACCCAGTGGTATAGCACTTGCCTACCATATGCTAGGGCCTAGCTTCCAACCTCAATTCTACTTAATTCTCAGGGTTGGGGATGTAGCTCAGCGGAACAGCACTTGCCTAACAAGCACAAGGTCCTGAGTTTGATTCCTGCTACTCAAAAAAAAAAAAAAAAAAACAAACCCCAAAACAGAACAAAAGAACGGCTGGGTCCCTTTGGCCTCTGAGCCACTTGAGTGATAGTGCTGGTAGGCTCAAGGTGTACCTGTCTTTTTCTTTGGCTTTAGTTATTTTTGAAGTCTACCTCCTCTGATTAAATCAGTGTAGGAGGGGCTGGTGAGATGGCTCAGTGGTCTAAAGCACCTACTTAGAACAAGCTTAGCAAAGCATGGGGACCACGGTTCGATCCCCCAGCACCACATGCCAACCAGCCCCGCCCCCCTGGTGGGCTGAGCTGGCCACACACACACATAAATAAATAAATAAATAAATAAAATTTAAAAAAAAATCAGTGTGGAAACTCAAGAAAGTTCCACTCATACATTCCAACTGGGCAGCCACCACTTGCTCTCATTCATTCTTTCATCTCTCCCCTTTGGGACCCCAAGTTCAGGAGCAAAGGGGTCACCAAAAGGCAGGGGCATAGGGGCTGTCTGGCTGCAGGCTAATGAGGGGGCAGGCTCAGCCCTGGCACTGCTGGCACCCACATGTGCTGCTCCTGGGCCCAGGCATTGGGGACTGCAGCAGCAGCATGTGGAACACAGGACCAGGAGTCATGCCACATCCCCGCAGGCAGGGGGCGTAGGTTGAGACCAGAGACCCAAGGCCTCTTTTGTAGAGGAGAAAGACACCCTGCAGGCTGGGCCTCCACTCCTGTCTCTTCTGATTGGCTTTAAGACAAGTCTCCAGAACCCTGGGGTGGGGGAGCTACCAGGTTTCGGAGGAGGCTGAGCCAGGCTTATGCCCATTGGGGAGCCCAGGCCACCATGTGATCCTACCCTCAGTCCTCACCCCAGTCTCTACCTCTGGCTGCTCCTGATGCCTGATCCAGCCTAGAAACTCCTGTCCTGTTCACTCATTCACTGCACAGTGGCTCTGCACTGAGTACTAAAAGGTACTTGGGGTAGGTTTATAAAGGATGGAACCCAGGGATGGGACTCAAAGCTGGGGTGCTGGGGAGAGTAGAACTCGGGCAACTACTAAGGAGACCAGGAGCTCTGGCTGTTAGGAAGCTCTGAGGGTCAAGATAAGACAGGCCCATGGGAGCTGCCACAAGAAGGGTGGTGGAGTCATAGTGGTGCCCCTGGAGATCCTATGTTTAAGGCTAGCATGGCAGAAATTGTGCCTGGCACCCTGAGTTGCCCAGGGAGGAAGGCTCCTGAGCTGAGCCCCTTCCAGTGCAGCATGTGGGGTTCTAACCCCCTTCTGCCTTTGTAGAGAAAGGAGGCCAGCAAAGACCCAGCTAGCCAACCCGGACAGAGGAAGGTGTGCTGAGCAGAGGTCCCAGGCTTATAGGTCCAGGCACCCAGGGGGCTGTATTTCTCTGAGCCCCCGTCCCCCCACCAAGCCCCATCAACCTTTTCAACAACTCACTCAAGACCAGGTCTGCTTCTCCTTTATCCACTTAATTATTTACTGAGGGGTGGGTGGCCAGGTAGGAGGATGCTGGGCGCCATCCTCCGCGGCATGGCCTGTGAGTCTGGGAACAGCCAGTAGGTGTCAGGGCAGCTGGGTCTGGACTTGGGGTCTGAGGTTCAGGTGCGGCGGCAGCCTTTGGGGCGCAGCGACAGGAAGATGTTGGCGGTGCATTGGAGGGTCCCGCGGTCATCGTGGAACTGCTCGTAGTTTTGCAGGTGTGGGGCGACGTCCCGGATGCACATGGCCGTGGGGGGCCACCCGCGCAAGCTTCTAAGGGTCTGAAATCCCGGACGCAGCTTCCCGGGGTCGGTGGCTCGGTGTGAGCGTGGGAATCCCAAACCTTCAACTATAGACTTGGAGCGCCGCGCAGAAGGAGTCCCGCGGAAGCCTGACAGCAGCCCTGAGGCACGGCCCACCGAGTAGTGGCGAGGCCCAGCCGACGGCTTGTACCATGCAAAGCCGGGAGGCCCTAGCAGCAGGCACAGAGCCAGGGCGCTCGCCACCAGCTTCGTGCACCAGGCCATTGGGAGGCAAGGGCGGCGTCGAAGTTGAGCCGCTCGGTGCGCCTTAAATCCTTGGCTCCCCGGGGGCGGGGCCACTGGGGTGGGGCGCGGGGCAGTGCCTGCACATCCTGAGCGCGCGCAGGGAGTGCAGAGCCAGCGCTGGATGGGATCCCTGCTTCGTGCTTAGGCACAGACCCTCCAGATTCCCAGCCTGTCTGGTCCAGCTGGGCTGGCTTGGAAGCATTAAATTGTCACTGACCCCGGATGGCACCACCCATGTCTCCAGTGCTCCCAGGGCTGTCGAATAAGCCACAAGCTGTAGAGTGCTCAGGAGGCACAAGGGCACACTGAGGAGAAACTGACCCCAGGCTCCAGACCAGAAGTATCAGGAAGTCCATGGTGAGGATGCAACCCAGGGGCTGTTTGTGTCCATGGCAAAAGGTTTTGCTACTGGTCTGGTCCCCAGCAAAAACTCAGCAAAGCCAGGGACTGGCTTTACTGCTGGCCAAACCAGCAAAGCCAGGCCCTGAGGTCAGGAGAACCAGGCCAAGGGAATGAGGGTGGAGGCGTGGGTGGCCAGGAGCATCTTGCTTGCTTGCCTCTGGAGCCTTCTCTGTACCAATCAGCAAACACTAGATGTGAATGGAGACAATGCCCAGGGCAAGGTCAGCTACTGAGCACCTACTGTGTCACAGCCCAGGATTTAAACAGGTCCAGTGGCAGGGGCAATGGAGGCATCCCTAGGGAGATAAAAGGAACCTGTAACACCTGGTGGGGTAATGCTCCCCATGAAGCTTTTGGGTGTCCACTGAACACAGGTTGTAGGGTTTGATAAGAACCTTAGGGGGGGCCAGGGAGATGGCTCAGTAGGCTAAGCGCTTGACTGGCAAACACAGGGATCAGAGTTCAATCCCCGGTTCCACCAAAAAGGTGAAGAGACGGAGTATGGCTGGCCCTGAGAAAAGGACTGACCTGGAGTGTAGAGATAGCAAGTGGGGCAGCAAAGGGAGGAGGCAGACTTCGTGGCTGGGGGGGTTAGTGAACCTGAGGCTGGCCATGGTCCTGTACACCTGTAATCCCGGCTGAGGCAGGAGGATTGAGTTCAAAGCTAGCCTGAACTACATAGGAAGAGCCTATCTCAAAAAAAAAAAAAAAAAACCCAAAAGGTGAGCCTGTGAAAGCTGGACCCTTGTGGGCATTTCCTGTCCCATAGAAGATGTAGAAGAACACATTCCCTAGAGAAGGTTCCCAGGAGAGTTGGGGTCAGGCCAGTGGGAAAAAGGTTAGAATTAGGCCTTGACTTTGGGGCAAACCTAATCCCAGTGGGAAAATACAAAGCCCCGAGGAATCTGTGGCCCCCAGGAAGCCCCAAACTCAAGTCATACACATCCTCCTCCTAAACTCTGGGCCTTCCTCACTCCCTAGGGCTGGCACCAGTCCCCAAGTGTCCTAGGGAGAGATAGCCCTTGGGAGTCTCCTCTCTCCACAACTGGGGGCTGGCAGAGCCTGGGGAACATCAACCCAGCCCTACAGAATGCATGAATCAGTGGCCAGGTGGAGCTGTGGCTGTTACAGGAGCCCTCCCTTCTCTAACCCCATGGTTCAGTGCTGTGCCAGTGTGAACCACCTCTGCACTCACTCACCTGTCCTGCAGTCCTGAGGACAGCCCAGGCAGCAGCTGGGAGGGATAGGGCCTGCAGGTCACCTGTGTCAGCACGTGCTGGCTGCTAGTTACACTGCAGCTAGCCTGCAGCCCAAGCAGGGTATAGGGAACTGGGAGAATAGACTGCTACAGCTGTCTCTGCAGCCCTTGTGAGGATGGGAGAGCCTGCTCAGGCACATCTTCCTTTGGCCTGGAAACTTAGGATGAACTACTGTCAGCTGTGTTCTGCTAGGATCTGAGGGAGCATCCCAGGGCCCCAGCCTGGCCTCCCCATTCCTCCTCCACCAGCACAAACACACCCTAAGCCCTGCCCCAGGCTCTTCCATCTGATCTGGGCTCCTTCAGTCCCAGCGCTGACTCACATGCTAATCAGGGCCTCACTGGGATGTTTATTCATGAGTGTTTTCATATCAAAACACACGCAGACATCCAGAGGCCTCCAGCAAGGTTCGGGTGCTTTAATGAGCTTTATTTATTGAATAAAAGTGTCAGCATTGTGGTGAAGAAGAACAAAGGAGGCTCCAGTCCTCGGTTCAACCCTTCACAGCCCAATGGGAACTGCTGCCAGCAGAAATGCGGTTCTGAGGGACCTGGAGGGGGCCATCTGAGGGAGGGGAGACCCTCACTCCTTGAACTTCCACTCCTGGCGGCACATGGGGCAGTGCTGCTGCACCTGCTGCGCGTTGAGCCACTTGAGGATGCAGTGCATGTGGAAGCAATGGGAGCACTGGCCCCACACCAAAGGGCAGTCGTCACCAGGCACTTTACCTGTGGGAGGGTAATGTTAGAAGGGCTTTGCAGACCACACAGAGCATGCAACTGGCCCTGAGAAAAGGACTGACCTGGAGTGTAGAGATAGCAAGTGGGGCAGCAAAGGGAGGAGGCAGACTTCGTGGCTGGGGGGGTTAGGAGCCGAGGCAATCAGGTTGTGGCTCCACCCTGACCAGAACATCTCAGGCTGCCAGAGAAGCACAGCAGGGTGGGGCTCCAGCTTGGCCCACTGGGTTGCCCTGTGCCCAATTGGTGGGGTCATCTGTGGACACTTAACCAGTGACAGCAACAAGTAACGTTCACGGTTGAAGGACCCAGGAAAGGTCACCTGAATGGCGAGGTATTTGTTTTTGTCAAGGGCAGGAGAGTGGGGCCCAGGAATCTGAAGATTTCTTTTCTGGATATCACAGATCCAGTCCACTACTTAGCTTCAGGGACACCACAGTGTCTGCAAGGCAGCTCCTGCGAAGCCCATCAGGAGCATGGTGCTGCTACCTTCCACCTCCTTGCTACCCTCCTCCAAGGCTGGACACAGGCTGCAATTACCCACCTCAAAGGCCTGACCATGCTTCCTCCACAGCAGAGGGCCTAGTGCAGAGGGGGACACTTCAGCATGATCAAGAGACAAGTCTCTATGTCCAAGGACCCAGCGATCCTATGAAAGAGCTGGTTCCAAAAGCACAACCAGAGCCCTGATCCTTCCTCTCCTTAAAAGTTGATCCAGGGGGCTGGTGAGATGGCTCAGTGGTCTAAAGCACCTACTTAGAACAAGCTTAGCAAATCACAGGGACCGCGGTTCAATCCCCCAGCACCACATGCCAGCCAGCCCCACCCCTGATGGGGTGAGCTGGCCACACACACACACATAAATAAATAAATTATTAAAAAAAAAACAAAAAACAAGCTTAGCAAAGCACAGGGACAGCCAGCCCCACCCCCTGGTGGGCTGAGCTGGCCACACACACACACACACACACACACAAATAAAAAAATAAAAAAAAGTTGATCCAACTCTGAGTGTTCAATCTTGCTACTTCCAAACTGTCCTGTGAAACGTGCCCTACATCGTACCTGCTCCCAAGCCCCTCTGAGATCCCCTTCCCCAGGGCCTCAAAAGTACTTGCTGCTGGCCCTGCCTGGAAGTGCTGCCCTATTCCAGCAGTCCCTGCAAGCAGCCTGCTTAGGGTAGCTGATGAGCATGAATGTGCAGGATGAGTCATACAAGGACTTGCTAATGTCTTGATGAAATTATTTTTTTAATTAAAACACCTCTCAACCAGACTGCTTTACCCAAAGGCCCTCCGGGACATGGAGATTTATTACAACCTTAGTCACTCCTGATTATTCAGAGGAGCTCAATTTTAGCAAGACAAACCTAACACTACGTAACCATTCCAGAAAGCGCATCAGAACCATCAGACACGTCGTACATTTGAAGTGGCTCATCTTAACTTAGCCAGTGAGTCGAAGAATTGGCCTAAATTACCTATTCTCTACAGTCTGAAGGCCCCATTTTCACAGACCTGAGCACACTGCATGTGTTAGGTACGACCTGTTCACCCGTTGGGAGATCCTATCTAGACAGACCTGTCACAGACTCAGGTTGCGTGCATGGTCAGGTTGGGCTCCACAGGCCCTCTGGGTCTGCCCTCTGCAGTCAGGCAGGGGCAGGCGGCCTGGGGGCCAAAAAACTGCCTCCAGTCTGAATACTCAGCAGCTCATGCCAGGCCTGTGTGCAATGCTGGAAGAGACCAAGAGTTGTTAAAATACCTTTGAGGATTTTTTTTTTTTTTTTTGGTGGAACCAGGGATTGAACTCAGACCCTTGCGCTTGCCAGGCAAGCGCTTATCCTACTGAGCCATGTCCCTGGCCCCCCCTTTGAGGATTTTATAAAAAGTTAACAGCCTGTTGCTTTGAAAGCTGAAGTGCTTACCCTTCCACCTCCTTGCTCCCACAGTCTTACTGGCACTTTTAAGAGTGATTTTAGAAAGGTTAAAAATCAGAAGCCAAAGTACATGGGTGGCACGTACTTGTGAACCCAGAACTCCAGGAGTATCACAAGTTTGAGGTCAGCCTGGGAAACTTAGCGAGACTTTGTGGCAAAATAAAGAATCAAAAAGGATTATGAGTAGGGCTGGGGGAGATAGATCAGTGGAGTAAGTGCTTGCCTGGCAAGCACAGGGTCCTAAATTCAATCCCCAGTACCACCTAAAAAAAAAAAAAAAAAAAGGCTATGGGGGCTGGCCAGATAGCTCAGCAGATTAAAGTGCCTGCTTAGGCAGACATAGAGGCCAGGGGTTCGACCCATGGCCTACCACACCAGCCCCGCCCCAGGCAATTGAGACTGGCAGTGGTGGCCCGTGCCTGTGTTTACAGCACTTGGGAGGCTGTAAACTATCACTATGAGTCTGATCTAATAGTGAGACCCTGAACACCCTGTAGACTCTTCCCTAAAAATACAATAATAATAAAAAATAAATTTTGAGGGAGTTAGAGATGTAGAGGGCAGGGTGAGGGGAGAGAAAGTAAAAAGAATTTGTGGGCATGGTGGCGCACATCTGTAATCCCAGTACTCATGAAGCTGACGTTGGAGGATTGTTGCAAATTTGAGACCAGTTTGGGCTTACAAAGTGAGCTCAAGACCAGCCTGAACTGCATAGCAAGACCCTATCTCAAAAAGACATGGACCAGGGAGATGGCTCAGTAGAATAAGTGCTTACTTGGCAAGTGCAAGGGCCTGAGTTCAACCCCCAGTTGTGTCCCCCCCAAAAATGGGGGGGAATGGCTCAGTAGAATAGTGCTTCGCTGGCAAGCGCAAGGCTCTGAGTTCAATCCCCAGTTCTGCCAAAAAAAAAAAAGATACACACACACACCAAATAAATAAATAAATCTTTTTTTTAAAAAAATCTTTATATGAAATGGGTAAGAATGCTTGACACTTTTTTTTTTTTTTTCCATTTTATGTATTTGGCACAGGGTCTCCCTATGCAGCTCCGACTTGTGGTGATCCTCCAGTTTTCAGCCTCTCAAGTGCTAGGATTACAGGCGTGCATCACCAAGCCCAGACTCGGTCTTGGCTCAGCGTGCCCTGGGTGCGGCAGGCAGAACCCGGGCTTGACCCGGTTTGGGGGATTTTTTTTGTTTCTTTTTGGTCAACTGTTCTTCAGGAAAGAGAAACTAAATCCCAACTTCAAAGCTGGGCAAGCAAACAGGGATAGGAAGGAGCACACAGAGGGACACACTTACAATCAGGACAGCAGCCGTTGAATGCCATCCTGCAGATGCCACAGTTCTCATCATTGGCCACCCAGAGCCAAGTGGCCACGCCATTCCAACATTTAATTTTCACCTTCATGGCAGCAGAGCCTGTGGGTTGAAGAAAGAGAATTACCTAGCTGAAGTCATGCTGCACAACTACAAAACCTGGGTACCAAAGCAGGAATGCTGCTCTGCGCTCACAGCCCGGTGGCTTCCTGGGACCTATTAGAGGGATAGACTTGCTTTTCAAGAATTATCTACCAGCAATCTCTTGTCACCAACAGAAAGGCACAGAACTTGCTTCCATGGGAAGTGCCTTGGCTTGTCAGTGCTGGAGAGATGCTGTTCACAACACAGGCCAATTTTGCGTTTGGTTCCGTCACACATTTGGGCTATCTTCAGAAATCTACACCCACAAAAGGTGCATTTGTTTTCATTTAAGTTGCCAAAATACAACACAGAAACCCCCCCCCCCCGCGTCGTCCTCGCCCCGCGTGTTATCGACCTTAGCGGCATACCGGAATATGCTAGGCAACTAGGCAACTACTCTACCACTGAGTTGTATCCCTGACCTTTTCGTCTTATTTTTTGAGACAAGGTTGGCCAAACTGGCCTCGCACTTGATATCCTCCTGCCTCGTACTTTTGTAGCTGGCAGTACAGGATAAACCACGGGTTTAGACAACGATTTTTAAAAGATGCACCTAGCAAAGCGACATCACTAACTTGTGAGGTTACTGTTGAAAACCAAACTACAGCTTGCTAGGAGCCTCCGCCTCCGCCTTCGCCTCAGGGAAAACACAAACCGAGGATGAGATCCGCAGCTGGCGAGCTGCGCGGCCAACCAACGACCAGGAGGAGAAGGCGCAGCGGAAGCTACCGCCCAGCTCCAGACCCCAAGCTTCACCCACCCAACCGGCAGCAGGGAGGAGCGCTTGACCCCGCCTACCTCCCGCCCTCACACTGCGCCACCTAATCACGCTCCGACCCGCCCATACGTCGGCCGCACCACCCTTACATCGGCTGCACCGCCCTACGCGCGGGAAGGTACAAAAACGAGCGCTCCGCAGCTGGCTTTTCTATAGCATCGCCCGCCGCGCTGCCTCTGCAGTGCGCACGCGTCCCCTCGCCCTTCGCGCGCCTCAGCCAATAGCCTGTAGCTCGAGACACCCGACGCCGGAAGATCGCGCTAGCGCCGGAAGTGACGCCCCGACGTGCTGACGCGCGGGCTCGATCCCAGGCCCGATTCCGCGCCCGCCATGGCCGACAAAATGGATATGTCTTTGGACGACATCATTAAGCTGAACCGGAGCCAGCGAGGCGGCCGCGGTGGGGGCCGTGGCCGCGGCAGGGCCGGCTCCCAGGGCGGCCGTGGCGGTGGGGCGCAGGCCGCC